GGGACTCCCGGTACAAAAAACCAGTAGCCCCTGAACCGGGAGTCCCGTCTAGAAGGATCTCCTGAAGAAACTTTATACTGTAATATCCTCTCTTCAGCAATACAAAAGTTAACATTATCAAAAAAAAAAAACAACCGTTGAAAATAGAATCAAGAAGGACGAGAGAGAGAGAGAGAGCTGCTCAATATATTGCTCGGTGGTTTAATGAAGCGAGCATCCCTTTAGTGCCGCTCGCCTAAGCAACTTCTACACCTTGGTAGAGGCAATTGGCCAATTTTCAACGGTTGTTTGCTTCTTGGTTTTCTCACCTGCAACCTCAAGATTAGGTGGCGCAAAAAAGAATCCACAGGACCCCTAAACTGAGGTCTCTTAGGGACCCAAATTCAATTGCAACTCCCTTTCCTTTCCTAGGCTGGAACATAGCAAGCTGCTCCACCTCATCACACCCCTCCTCAACACTCTCATCATCATCATAAACACAAACCCCAGACCTTAGCTCTGCTATGCATGTCTCTTTTTCCTCTTTTTACTATATTCATAAAATTTTTAATCTCCTCCCTAATCGTATCAAGAATCTTTTTACATGGAGCAACATACCCCTGATACCGGTAAGAAGTTAATCTCAAGAATATGAGTTATTGCTTTTTATGCAATTTTTATCTCAAGAATTTGAGTTATGACTATATTTCCAATTCGAATCACTACTTATATTAGAAACCGAAGAAGACATCTCAAAATAACAAAAGCAATCTGAAATACAAAATTTTTTAACTAACCTTGATTGCTCGATCTTCAAACTACCACCCTTGAGATGTCTCTCAATCTCAAATGCTTCCTAAAACCCTCTAATAGGCATAAAAACTATCCAAAAGCAAATCCAGACAAAAAGGATGACGTCTAGATTGATTTTTCGAAACTTTGACACATCCGCCTATCTTATGGGAATGAAAAATTTCCACTTTTTTGTTGTGTATCTCTCTCTGAAACGTCACAAATGGGGTTTGGGTTGCATAAGAACCTAACACCCTTCTGCCCTTAATTTACCAAAAAAAAAAAGAAAGATCAAGAGAGCCCCTCCACTAGGGGCATTTTCACCCCTTGACGGGCACAAGCCTTGAGCACCCGCCTGGGGCTAAGCATGCAGGGACCCCCTACCCAAGGGTGCCACATCACCTAGACCCCTTGGCCTGCATAGGCGGGCCACTTTTTGAGTCACTAGTGACAGCAAAATATCAAATCGATAACGATTTGCTGAACTTATCCTTCTAAATGGTTTTGTTTCCAATGATCAATGCAACATGCAACCAGAATATCATAAGATGAACTCAAAAATGTTACTCAATATAAACAAACAAGAACATTCACTAGAATAATGAGCCATGCAATGCAAAACACAAATTGACCGCTAGTTCATTTCTTACATAAAGCAAAACTTTCATGCAAAATAAAATGAAGCCAATTTACTAGCATCACATATTGTTGATTTATAGAGCAAGATATGCTAAATAGTGATTACAAAAGAATCACGTCAAATACAGTCAAGCTATCATCATAACAAAGTAAAATGGCAGCATCGGAGAATATCTAGGACACTTGGATCAAAATTAAGAGAGAAATACTTGTTTATATGCTTGGAAGCCTTCTTCTTGTTGGTGATTCCTCCACTGCGTTCTAGTTCCAATGCGCGCAACCTGTTCTTATAAGCTGGAGTTCTCTTAACCATACTTATAGCCTGCACCAAACAAGGGCCCACCACATGATTTTATGCTTCTGTTTGGCCAGCCCAAAGGATAAAATTAACAGAAATAGCCTACTAATAACAGATTTAAAGTCAAATCTATAAAACAATAACCCGATAACCTTAACAAATTTTCTCTTAATGCAGCTACATTGTTTGACATCCTGAGCTACAGAGCCCAAACGAATGGGAAATGCAAGGCTTTGGCAAATTACATCATGAAAGACCCGCAATGCTTCATTTCTAACAAATCAGAACGATTGAAAAAAAATTACAAAAGGCACCAACACCAAAGCCTAACCAACAAAGAACACCCTAGAAATATTGGGATCTTAAATGATGCGCAGCAATGTTGACATTTAAACATACCAAAAAGATATAACTGTCAGTGAATGCTTTTGATGGATTTCATGGTGCACTCCAAAATGAAAACAATTTTTTATTAATTAATGATTCATAGAAATGTGACTTACCAAATGGAAGGAAGTAATTAAAAAATGGATAGAACATAGCACAAGTTTCAGATAAAGTAAATTAAATTTTCTGCGTAACAACTCAAATATGCATATAAATAAGACAACTGGAAACACATAAGCACCGGTTGAGACTGATGAATACAAGATTATTGATGACGGCATTGTAGCCCTCCAATGTTGGCCCATGCATAGGCAAGGATCCAGGTTGTTTGTTTCTTATACATACCTGTGGTGGTCCAAAAGAGACTTGTTTAATCTTTATTAATTTGTTTTATTAACCTTAGGGGGAGTTAGTCTTTCATCCTTTTATTCCATAAAAGTCATGCAAGGAAATTTGAGGAAGCAGTAAAATCAACAAGAAACAAAGCTACGGGAAAACACAATTCAAAGAAACCTAAGATTTGTTTTCCATACCCCAAGCTAAGGTTCCAAATGCCTAAGCTTCTCTCTCTTTCAATTTCTAAAAATCATGTAGAACTAACCCTCTCAAGGCCCCACACACTACTTAAGTATTATAATTCAATGTTCAAAGACATTATATGTCCATACAATAATTGAAAAAACCAATATATCCTAACTTAAACTTAAATTCGTAATGACAGTTTTACCCCTGTGAACATACTCGTGACTAATACTAATGAAGTAAATAAAAAAAATAAAAACCCTAGAATCCCTAAAATACTAAAAAACCCTAGAAATAAATCTTAAAACTAAAACTATAATATACATCCTTTAAAGTTGAATAAAAATAAAAAATAAGAATAATTTTGCCCTTTATCATTCTCCCCTGGTTGGAGAAAACTCATCCTCGAGTTTTGAAGTGTGCTAAGATGAAATTAGCACTAGTCCGGCAAAATTCTTCACCTCAAATATTTTAAACATGATCCTGGAACTTGTGGGTTACTGCACTAATCAAAACCCAATGATTGTGTATTAGATTTGATAAACCCTCGATGAAAGGGCCATTGTATGTCCGTAGAATATTTTTTCACATTTGTTGAAATTGCACCACTTTAGCAATGTAACCCTACTGAATTTGCCCAGACTCAGATCTAGAACACACCACGGGTGCATCTTTGAGATCAGCGATTAAGCCAACAATTTCACCTATCAATTCTCCTTTGAGTCCATCCATTTCCTCGTCAAATATCAATTGAACCATAAAATCTTTGATCATCATCGTATATTGGATCTCCTACAAGATCTTGTTCTTCATCTAAGTATGCGTCGAAGATTGGAAGCAGATCCCAATCTACATCCTGCTGATTTTCGATACGATCTATGACAAAATCAAGAATCTCATCCTCCAAATCGAAAACCCTAGAGTGATGCTCCCCACATCTAGGTCTTATGTCCTATCCTCATCACTTGACTCCCCACGTGGAGCGCAAAAGTGAAAAATCTTGTACTCAAGATCCTCTTAGGCTGAAAGATCATTGTCTTGCCCATTATTGAGGCTCGCAAAATGTTGCGCCAGCTGTTGCACTTGCCTTTCAAGTTCCTCAATTCTATCATCTATGGGATCACAGAGTGGATCTACAAAAATCCACCTTCTACAGCCCCTTCTCACTGCCATGGGTTTGCAGAAATCACAAACCTTAGGCAATTAATGAACAGAATTGCTGAAATCAGCAAAATCTAGGTTGTTTTGGCAAAACTTTGGCCAAAATCAACAAACCTTAGACCTCACTGTAACTTCCCCTCTTTGTTGTTGCCCTAGGGCACCAAAAAATTGATGCTACAGTAATTTTGTATATTTCTACAGTTACTCCGTACAATACTACTTCAACTGCAAAAAAGGTGAGATCACTCACTATTTTCTAGGCTTCCAACTGCAAATCACTCGTCAACCTCCGACTTCCTAAATAATTGGCACGACATTCTAAGGTCCAAACCCAAAAGACCCCCACGCTTGAACATCTAGAGTCCTCCAACCCAAGGCACCATCAAGGTCAACATTGATGATTGCCCTCTGAGCAATCCCGGACCCTGCGGAGTTGGAGGCACCTTAAAGACTACAATGGAAATACAATTCTTAACTTCTCCATCCACATTCATCATTGGAATTCAAATTGGGCAGAGGCTATTGCCTTGCTCGAAGCCCTAAAGAGAAACAACCCGGTTTGGGGAAAATAACTTATCTTGGAGGCCGGCTCTCAGAGTGCCATTTCATTGGCATCAAGAACTTCAGAATCCCCTTGGAGACTAACCCACGTCTTCGACCATGTTCATTTCCTTTGCAGGTCACTTCAAATCACCTTCCAGCATACCTGGAGGGAAAGGAACAGGGAAGCTGACCAGATAACCAAACAAGGAGCATGAACAATTCCAGCCATCAGTCAGCAATGAAGAATTTCTCTCCTTCCTATCTCTTCCTTCTTCTCTCCTATTCTTTCTCTACAGTCACTTCTTTGTTTTTTGCCTCTCCTTACTCCACATCTGGAGGGAAAGGGACAGGGAACTGAACAGATAGACAGAGCACAGACAATTCCAGCCATCAATCAACAATGAGGAATTTCTCTCCTTCCATCTCTCCCTTCTTCTCTCCTATTCTTTCTCTATACCTGCTTCTTAGTTTTCTGTCTCTCCTTACTCCACACCTATTATTTATTTTTCCTATTCTGCTACTCCCTCTATTCTCTATCCACTCCTCACTCCTCTTCGACTCTCTCTCTCTTCACTCTTCTACTCTCTCTACTCCTCATCTACTTCAGATATTCTATTCTCTCTTTTCTACTCTACCCACTCCTTACCCTTTCCCCACTATTCTCCAGCTACTCTCCACTCTCTTTCTTCTACTTTGCCTACCCCTTATCCATTCTCTTTCCTATCTACTTCATCTCTCTTTTTTGATAACAAAACTTTTTCTTCTTTTACCCATTTTGTATGCATGTTTTTCTTTAAATTTTGCTACTCATTCACAGCTATAGTTTTATAAATATACATATATTGCAATGTTTCAAAAAACGCTAGCCAGCCCTAGGCAGTTGGCCTGGCACCCAGCGCTCCGGCACTAATCAGACGCCCTAAGGTGAAAATATGCATATATGTGTTGTTCAGATGCAGAGAGATGGGTTTTTTTGCATTTGAATGTATTCTAAGTAACTTTTTCCATGCAAATATATACGCATGAATCCTAAACACGCTCAAAACCTCAAATTATTGAAAATTTAGTGAGAAAACATAAACAAGTCTAGGTGTATTAGTCTCCAACTCTCCATTTCATACTCCATTGTGACACACGATCATGATACACAAATAAAAGACAAGATGAAATACAAAAGAAAAGCACAAAACCAATAGTCCAAATGTCCAATACATTTCAAAAGCAATTGATTTGGGGTGTTTGTAGGGTTTAGAGTTTTTTCTGTTTTTTTTTACGCCCTTTCCACTTTAAGGGTTAACATACCCCCAATACTCTTTAAAGACAAATTCACGGGTCAAGATGACCCAAAATGCCCTTGGGGGCACTTTTTACTACACAAAAACGTGCCCAGGTCATGGCGAGGTGCCCAGGCACTGGGACCAAGGGAGGGCCACCCAGGCCTAGACGTGTGCCCTGGGGTCATTTGGGTGCCTAGGCGCTGGCCTGAATGTTTTTTTGACCAATGATATATTGTCAACTTGATCCCAAGAAAAAACAAAGAGAGAGAATAGGAAAATTATGCGGTTAGGCCACATGCTATGAGACATGCAATTGCTAGAAAGTAATTGTGGGCTATATTGATGATAGAGGCAATGTTCCTACATATACTAGAAGATGACTTTTGTCAAAATTGGAGGCAGGAGTCAAATAATTTTATTCTGGCAACCGGGAGTTCAGGAAAATCCTATCAAAAATGACTAGTCCCCCAGTCAAGACTCATTGTCTTAAACAAATATTGGGGATAGCAAAATCTACTTTCCAAGAAGGCTTCTTCAAACCTACAAGCAATTAACAGAAACTGAACTGAGTCAAATTTATTATATCTGGTACCTGTGTGTACCTGGTCCATTGATTTAGATACTGGAATGCTGAAAGAATCAACAATAGGCCAACTAAAACGGCACGAGGATCCTGCAAAACAATAATTAAACGTTCAACATCATGCAATATATGTTTCTGAATAGGCTTCTATGTAAATGAGCACCATATGTCCAGTATTTCTTCAAATGAGGAAACATGATAGCATCTTACTGTTTTGTGCCCATAATATGCGTGATAATAACGAGCAGCATTATAGAATACCTGTAACCAATAACCCAGAAAGTATTACTGCCATAAGAATGTCAATATTCAAACAGCCACAATGCGAGATAAAAATAACATCACATCCTTGATTTGCTTCCAAATGATATTAAGAAACATCTCAATTGATTCTAAATGCATATTAGTGACATGAGCATATCAGCAAACGAAGTTCAAACTTAAAATCACCTCTTTCCCACCATGAGTCACAGTCACATACTACTATATTTGACATGCACCAACTCCCACAAAATTTCATCCAAATTTTGCAAAAAGACACAATTGAAAACATTATACACGGGATAAGTAAACAAGAAGAAACATTCAATAAAGGTCCCGCAAAGACATTACTCATCAGAAAAAAGGTCCTACAAAAATATTCACACTTCCACTAAATAAACCTACTGGTTACTCCAATAATAAAATTCGAGAATGGAAGCAAACGAGCATCACAGATCTAGCAATTATGAGTCCTCAAGTGAATGCAACTAAACACTCAAAATTGATCAATGAGAAAATGTTACCAATATATAAAACAGGATTGAACAGCCTAGACAAGTCCATGCATGCACATACAGATGCAGAATTAAACCATTAAAAATTTATCATAGAGAACTTTCTTAAGACGTAGAATAAACCCAACAGATTAAATCATCAATTGATCAATACTTCAAATGCCCAATAAAATTAGTATTTAGTCATTCATGCAAGCAGTTGGAATTTGGCAGTATTTATGTACCAAATCAGTTACAACAGTATCAAGAAACTACCAACTGATATCTCTTGGCTGTTCATGCTAAAAGATAATCCCTAGGATATTCTTAGCACGGATTATGGCTTCCAGATGTCAACAATCAAGAATGATCAGTTTTGTGTGTAATAAGTAGATTATGGGAAACATAGTGGCCAACATCTATAATACTCTAAAACTGACGAATCAATCGCACAGTCTATCTCTTTAACTCTTTATGCTCAAATCTCAATGCTTATTCGAACCAATAGATCTCTTCACCTCAACCTTTTCAGGGCACATTAATGGATTATGAAATGGCTAATGTAGAGGTATTTTCCATAACCAACACTTCCCCAGTGTTCTTTAACTTTTAATTCTTCATGCTCAATGCTTTTATAAAGTGAAATACTTCTTGGATCTATATATACATCTCAGCCTCAACTTTTCAGGGTTCACTAAAGGATCACAGCATGACCACAGAAGGTAGATTTCCTCCCTCACTATCACTTTGCTGAGGGAGGTTATGGACCAATATACTGTGCACTGATAAGTTACAATGGCACCAAAGGATATGCCTACTGATTCAGCCAAAAAGGTCATATCCAGAATATCCTTACTTGAGATTGTGGATCCCAAGGACGCAAACATCATCACCTATGACCAAGCAATCTAGCCAGCAATTATGAGTTTAGACCCTGGCATACAAGACTGCATAGTCTAAACAGCCCTAGCTCTTAATCTTTTGACACCCACACACGGTACCCGATATTTGTACCAGAGAAGTATGTGTCAACATGGGTTACCCCTTCACAACAAAGCAAAGGCATGCCATCAATAGAAGTCTACCCTGTTGGATTAAGTTTTGGTCATGACAACAGGACAATAGAGAAGTGTCTACCTCATGGACCTTTCATGTCCACATTTTCACTTAAAAATCTCAACTACCACAAGCATATACTAAGGGAACTTGCAACCCATATGCCAAGGAAAGAGCCACAAAATTATGCTCTTTCTCCAAAGTAAAGTAGTTTTTTGGTGAATAGTCCTTTATGCTAACGCATTAGTAAGAAGAGCCAGCAAACCCATAGTGCACTGCTTGTGACTTTTTCAAAAAGTAGGGAGCATGCAACCATGCTTTCAATATTTTATGTTTTTCATAAATGATAATATGATTCATGTTGTGCATGTAGATATATTTTATATGTTCGAAATTATGATTGACATCTATGCAAAAAGAATATATATGATAATTGGGTCTGAATCCATTATATGGTGCATGGACCCAAATTAGCATTATTTACAAGTTTCTTCCAAATCTTTTGTTGCTTTTCACTATTTATTTTTTATACGCCAACCAGTTATGAAAAACCAATATGGCATCCACCCTTATCATCCGAGTCAATCAGTACAAAGTTGGTCGCAGACATCTCCGATGGTGCACTGCAATAATTCATGCATCTCACTTGAAGATTGTTAAGAAATTTTAACAGAAGTAACAGATGCAGATCATTAGAGGATTAAACAAATAAATAAACAAGTTGCACTAGTGAGTTGTTTATTGTTAATACAAGCAAGCAGCTGGCATGAAATTCCAGGGAGAAAACTTTATCCTGGACTCTTTGCTTGGTGAGCAAACATTCAGTGATGTTCATCCATAGATACCCAATTTTTTATTTCTTAATGGCTCCCATAAATGTTATGGTACCAAAGAAGCAGATACTGTCTAAAAGCTAGAAAATTAAATCACCGAGAACTTCATGAAAGAAAAAAGTTATTCTACAGGCTGCACCAAGGTAAAACTTGCAATCGTCAATCTATACATGTAGATTACACATGGAAACTAAATATAAACTTGACTTACCTCTTCAGGATGTGCAATAGCATAATCATACTGTTCACGGGTAGCTTCATCCTTCAAAATCTGAAAGATAAGAAAACATGGACCATGAGAATATGATGAAGGACAAACCCAAAAGCGTAGATACAAAAATTATTATGGTATTAGTTTTGTTATGCAAAGCTGGAAAAATACTCAATATGAATTCTTTTAGGATTGCATTTTCTCATTTAAAAAGAACCACGCCTATGACCTCTCCAACCACCCCGCACCCTTGACACTCCGCTCCATTCTTGTAAGTACTGGGTCATGGTACAAACCATAACCTGAAGCAGTGTAAACCGCCGATCACTTACATCTACCTCCCCCCTTATCATGCTAAGAAAGGGCAGACATACCACCTTAACCCAGAATTCTCAAAGTCTATACCGCCAAAACTCCAACTCTCTGTCCACTTACCAGTGCCCATTTATGGCCATCTAAACCTCTTAAAGATGACCACCATTAAAACCAAAGCTCTATCCCTCCCAAAACTGTATAACACCTATGCTAGCCTAATACAACGAGACCAACATTTGCAGAACCCACCACCCAGCAGGCCCAGCTTACCAAATATGGTGGTTCTCCAAAAGGTCAGCCAAACCCATGCCTATGCCAGCCTAGGTTTTCTCTCTATTGGGCCACCTAGGTTATGGGCATTCGCCTAGGCATCGGGTAGCATGGACCCCCCCGGCCACCTAGGCGTCGCACAGCATTTTTTGAAACATTGTAGAGGTCTAACTTGGTTCGCTGTTGACCAGCGATATTTTCTTGGATCTACTCTAATCCTTGTTTTATTTTCCTCCATTGCAGACACAACCAATCAGAAGGGCTCAAAATTTCATTTGGATATATATTCTTATTATCCCATACAAATATAAATGAAAATATCAAAAATAAATAATAATCTTATAAGATATAGCATCTTCGAGGGAGCAAATCTTCTTACAAGCAACTTTGAGGGGACAAGTCCCCCATTAGGTTTTCTTTTGATTTCCCAAGCTCTCTCCAGTTCGACTCTTTCCTTATTCATTTCTTTAAGCTTTTAAAAGCCTTCCCTATCTTCTAGCGTTATAAATACCTACTTCCTAAACATGCAAACTTCCTACCTACCAACCTAACCCACCATAAATCCCTATAAACTAGGAAATCCAACCATAAAATAGATCTGATACTTGCCCCATTTTATTCCTACCATTCTAATGGATTTCATACCAGCTAGAATCCCTAATCTAAACAAGGGATGCATCAATTATTTTGAAACTATTGAATACTCCGACTATGTTATGCCAAAAGGAAAGGAAGGGCACTCGGCAAGTGGCTTTGCTCAATTCCTTTCTTGTTTTGTCCTGGGGAAGGTCCAGTTTGATTATGATGGAAGGCGCAGTCCTAAATCCAAAGAAATCAAATTTCGAAAAGCTCAAACTATAGATTCGAAGCATAACCCGATGAATGAGACGAAGGTAGAAGCACCAGTTGTAGACTTTGACATAAGTGGATCCATATCGACTAGTAGGAAAGCCAGTTGTCCGAGTCACTTCCGGCTTGTAGTTGTAGTCTCGAGTGGCGGCATCTGGTTCCGATGTTCAAGAATAGCCCAGTCCCAGAATGAGTAGCGAAAGGTCATTCATGGTTCCCTTATTTCTGAGAATTGACATCTGGAAGAAACGAAGTCTATTTCTGCTCCCAGGGGGTGTGAGCGATCACAGTGAATTGACCGACCGTCAATACTTAGATGCATGCATGCTGCCCCTCCCCACAGGTGGCTCCTTGTGGGAATGGGAGAGCCTTCACACTAGAGCTTTGGATGAGCACAAGCTCACCCTCGCCCGCCTAACGTATCGACCGAAGGATGCCCCAGAGTTCGCTAAGCGAACTTAGGAACACGAGAGGGATTCCATACTTCTTTCCCGTCCTTTAGTCAGTTAAAAGAACTAACTCCTAGGCCTACCCGCTTAACTTAAAGGAAGCACAAGAGGGAGGCTGGAGGACCGCCCTTCGATGTTTCTTTCACAGTATACCCCCTCCATCCTTTGGAGGTGGAAGAAAGGGTACTCAAAAGCTATTGGCCTCAAATTGAATGCAAAAAAGGTGGGGGAGAAGTAGGGTTGAGAATGGGTCGGATCAAGTCCGGATCCATCGAGATCTATATTCGAATCCGAAAAGTATATATCGGATCCAAAAGATTATGTTTTATATTATTTTATCTATAAAACAATATATAAAATAAGATAGTAGACTTAGGTGGGCTGGTCATGTGTGGCGTCAACCCAGTACAGCACCTGTTAGAAGGTGTGAATTAGTTCAAGTGGAAGGATTGCAAAGGGCAAGGGGTAGGCCCAAAAGGATGTGTTTGGAAGTAGTCCGAAAAGATACGGGAATTTATGGCCTCATTGAGGGTATGGCCTTAAATAGAGCAGAATGACGGACCAAGATTCGTGTAGCCGACCCCAACTAATTGGGAAAAGGCTATGATGGTGATGATTATTTTATATCTAAAAATAATATCTAACAAAAAAACACTATGTAACATATATGTATACATATAAATTATTGTATATTATAGTATTTTAATAATTGGGTCGAATTACTATTTGGATCCAAATCTTGGATACATACCCGGATATGGATTGGGTCCAAAATTCAGGTTTCGGATCCAAACTGCGTAAATTCTCAGCCCCATAAAAAAAGGATCCACCCAATCATTTACAGCATATCTCCGAATGAACAAAAGTCATGGTTAGAAAACAATTCCAAGGAAATTACCTCAAGTCAATGAAATCCAAAATAGATACCAGATATAAAAATTAAAGTATCTCTCTGGGTCAAGGTTAGAAGTACCTCATAAGCATTTGCGATTTTAACAAAAAGCTTCCTCGATTCTGGATCCGGATTCTTATCAGGGTGACTGATAATTACCAATAATATCCAAAAACCAAAAACCCTAAGTCAGATCGAAAAATTCACAAAACAGGAAAACGGAAAATAATGAAATAAAGATCATACAATTACTATAATCTTGTCAACATGAAAAATCGTGTCAAAATGAATTCCAAATTGCACGTGAACTTACTATTTCAGTGACAATTTGTAGTAAGCCTTTTTTATCTCTGAAGCATTGGCGCTCTGTGTAACCCTAATTATAAAAAAAACGAGGTGTTAAGATGAGAGAATCCTATAAGCAAAAGAGTAAAATACATACATATAAAATGTGAAATAGAGGGCGGGCGAGGAAATTCACCCAAGTAGATCATAGCAATCATCTTCCTCGCAGTAAATGGCGTGAATATAGGGAAGAAGTGAAGACAACAAGATGAAAATGGCGAGCCAGCGGAGTACTGGCTCCATTGATGCACCCGATGCTGCTTGCTGAGACAGAAACCAGAACCAAACCAGGGATGGGTCGGGTCTAGGTTCAGAAATAGGGACCTGAGTCCAGGTTGACCCAACCTAGATCCATAGTATACGATAGGGATTGTGTACCATGCGACCATTTATATTTGCTACGCACAATCAATCATAGCCGGGTGAAATTCAGAACATTCTAAATATTTTATTGTGGACTTTGTCCCGCATCATCAACTACTTAATTTCAAATGACCTCTTATATCAAAATAAATGATTTTATTAAAAATAATGGTAGTATAAGACCCTCCATGGGTAGAATTTTAAAAGATCACCATTAAATTTAGCACAAATTTTTAAAAAATTTATCACATGAATGTGTGGGAGGGTCTTATAAGATCATTACTCTTTTATTATATACATTTTTTGTAAAATATAATGTATAATATGTTATCATTATCTATATATGCATATAATAGAGTAAGTATTCAAAAAATAATAATATATACAACAAAATTTTTTTCTTTTGTATAAGCAGGTAACAATCATTTCTACCAATGGTTTAAAAAACGGATCGGTGACCCTGATCGGGTTTCCAAAAAACCGATCCGGATCGACGAATCGACGATCCCGATCGAGAATCGGGTGAATCGGTCAGAATAAAGCTTAAAAAAAATCCGAAAAAATTATTAAAATTCATTATAAATATTGTTTTTTAAAAATTCAATAAGAAATGAGGGTACTCCATTAAGAATTTTCATGTTTTTGAATGAATATGCGAATATTGATATGTTCTTTCCCTGCATGAACCACCATTTAACATTTAATTTACATCACACAAAAGGATAACCATATAATTATCATGGAATAAGTATATCAACATACATGGACTACAATAAAGCATAAAATTAGTAACATATGATCTAAAAATAAAATGATAGACGACGTTATTGTTCTTCTTGGTCACGTTGGTGCCATTGATTGAATTCGTTTAACAATTCATTGATTCGATCTAAAAACGAATCATCGATATTAGCAGGCATCTGACTATTCCCAAATCCCTGAGTGTTAGTGTTTTGTTGTATTCCCAATCTAAATCCCCGAAGATTGTCCATTCTTCATGCTCATCTGCACTG